AGAAATCTATAGTTTCTGGAACACGCAGACAGGAGATTGGTGGTTTCTGGAGGTGGTGGTTTGATGTCGGGGACACGCTGATGTCTTTATCCTTGAGCGTAGAAATCTGTAGATTCTGGAACACGCAGAATTTTGAGATTTCTGGAGGTGGTGGTCTGATGTCGGGGACACGCCGACGTCTTTATCCTCAAATGTAGAAATCTGTATATTCTGGAACATGCAGAAACTGAAGATTTCTGGAGGTGGTGGTTCGATGTCGGGGACATGTTGACGTCTTTTCTTTGAAGTTAAAGTTCCTGGAAATCTGGGACACGCGGATTTCTGGAGGTGGTTGTCTTGAAGATATGATTTCAGGCGCCTTGGAAAAAGCACTGTGAATCCAATTACCAATTCCTTGCTGGAACACGCAGCAAAAGTTCTGATATCTAGGACAGAACCCCGCAAACCGCCCTGAACCACCCTGAACCACACTTTTACCACTCTTTGGCCACACTTGACCACACTTTTTGACACATCAACTTTCTCTTTGTTTAAGAGAATGTCTTTTAATACTTTCTCTGGAAGGCGGGATTGAAGGATGTCACCTTTCAAATCCAGCATTGTGATTGGATGATCCTGTGAGTTGGTCACTGGGAGGTGTCATCCATAATGTGGCCTGCATTTGCATAGTCATAGTCCACCGGTTAACTATTATAATATTTAAGAGTCTTAAATATTTTCCTATGCATAATTCACTTTCCAAACCACATCTAATTTACCCAAGGCGTTATTTGCAATAGATAGAGTCTAAACATCGCTATTTAATGTTGATCTTTACTCAAGCATTCATATATAAACCTTTAAAAGCAAAGTTTTATACAGTGGAGTATTTGAAGCAGTGCATATTAAATATATACATGATCAATTGAATCTACAGGTATATGAAGTGAAAGTTTCCATTTGTGTCTCTTTTGTGAAATGTTTTCTGATCCATGTGTCTCTGTGTTTGAGACAATGTCGAAGGTTGATTGGATCAAGAAGCGGTTTTGCAAGTTCTGGGCTCTTAACACCTTTGTCTTTCAGATAAACAAAAGACAGATGGTCACTGCTTAAATTGCCACTTTCTGATGAGCTTAAGAAAAGGGTTGACTGTTGCCTCACTTTGCCGGCGTTTCTTTGTACTGTTGCCTCAGCCTCACTTCACCGCCACTCATAATGTTAAAGTGTAGAATGATGGTCAAGCGCCCCCTAACTTTAGAGCATAGTGATTGGATATTTACTCGTGGGGAGGAGTTTCTTTATCTCAGCTCATGGATTTAGAGGCACACACAGTTAATTCAGGCAGATATGAAACACATAAATAATTTAAATGCATAACCGAGAAAACCACAATTTACAAGCGCGTATTGAACCGTGGATGTTGTGTTGTACGGTTTAATATTATATTGAAAACTGTGGCTTCCCTAGTACTTGAGAAATGCAAAATTCAGAATGCTGACACTTGGAGCACACAGAACTTCATGAACAATTTGTGTAACAGACATTGTATTTGATTTTTAAACTTTAAGTTTAGCAATTTACGCATCCAAAAATAGCGTTTTAAGAGCGGTTTTAACAATTTAGAGCAACTGTAGAAGTGAAAGCCAAAAATCAGGATGCTGTCACTCAGAGCACAGCGCACTTCATGACAAACAAAGCATGTCACATAAAGACAGAATGTGCCAGATATAGAGAACCACTGTTGTAGAGTACCATGTGCTGGTACCTTTCCCATGCCAATGTTTGACCAGTATGTGCATTTTTATGCCAGACTTTGTTCAGGATGAATAAATTCACATAAATTTGTTCTTTCTATGGCTGCAGTATAGCAAGCAATCCCACGCAGCTCTTTGATAAGGTAACAAATTCTCAGTTCTTTCCATGCCATGTATTGGATCTTTGGTGTTTTATTCGGACATGAAAAAAACAGATATGAAAATTTCAGACTTCAGTGTGCAAAGACCTTCTGACGAAATTGAATTTGGTTTTTGATTTTAATGAAGGATCTAATCGCTGCTGCCCTGTGGTTCATTCTGTTGGCCAGAGAGAATAGCAGACCATTTTTCAAAGTAATTTTGAAAGTTTCTGTCAGTTCCATGCTGAGCTGGTGCTCTTTTGGATTTGCTACCGCTGCTCTTATTACTGGCCTCCAGAGGGCCGCGCTATACGATTTGGAGCTGAAATATTCAGCATTACAGAGAAAAGCTGCTGACTGGCAATCAGGCCTGGAGAACTCTACTTCTAATAAGGGATGCCGTTACCCAAGGTGTCTGCTGTCTGTTCAAGAAAATAATTAGTTTGCTGCAGCAAAGCTCAATAAACCTAGAAAAAAAGTGTTCGTTACTATGTGTAATTCTGCATATGTGGAGAAAGTGCTTTGTTGTGAAAACCCTGGAGAAATGTTGTCTATGATGTAGCAGCGGTGAAACATTTCTAGCTCCTCTGTCATCTTCAAAGGTTTGCCTATGTTAGACTTAAAAATCGACCTATGTTCCTGTTGTTATTGTGCATCTTCATATTCTGTAATCAAACAGCCTTAACACGACAGATGGAGCATTTTCAACTCTAAACAGACAAATCAGAACTTTTCACCCTTGATTTATTTTCAAACTTCGATTTCTATGACCCAGTCAACATCAAGTAGGGAATTAGCCAATACAAAGCCATACAAAAAAAAATTATTGAAACTAAGTTGCAAATTTATAAACGTGCATGTTTGAACTAAAACTTGAAAACAAATGAGTGTAAAAAGTGACTTATTGATATTATTGATAGAACTAATAGCTAACTAGAAGACACACAGTGTCAAAATACATTAATATTAGGTTAAATTTAGGTCACAAGTGTCTAAGGGCAATGTTATTTTGATGTCCAACATCGACTTCAAATTACATTGATAATTTGTTGATTGTAGGTTGTGTTGGAAAGTGACCAAAATTCAAATAATGACTTATTCGTCAGGTATGGCAACTAAAACCCAACGTCTGATAGATGTAAAATTGCTAACATCCACAAAACGTCAAGCTGTAACACATTAGATGTTGATATTTTGTTGTTTTTAGGTTGCTTTGGAAAGTAACAAAAATGCAACATCTATTGGACGTTGGACATTGACATCAGCCTGATGTTGGGTTCTGACGTCAACCTGATTTCCATTTCCAAACAAAATGTAACATCTCATGACGTTGGGGTGCAGCAACAGTCTGACGTCATGTTGACATGCTGTGCTTGCTGGGTAACTATTAAAAAGTTCCCTCAAAAGTTGTTGCAAATTGTCCTTGATTTAACAAAAACTAGGAAATCATATAACAGTTCAACTAAAGTTAGACTCAATGTTAAAGCAAAACTAACTGAGTTCACACTGCACGATTTTAACTCTTATTTTTTCTCTCTGATGAGTTTTGTGTAATCTTCATTTTCCTGAAATTGAAGGCAAATCAACGTGAAAATCATGCAGTCTAAATTTTAGGAAAGACTCTTTCAAAGAGAATCACTGACTTGTCGCTGATACTTGTGAAATATTTGACATGTTCAAAAACCTTGACCCGTCGATAATTTAAAATCCTGCTGTTTGAAAGTGAGACAGGACAATGGGGAGTTTGGCGAGGAGTTAGGCCACAATATCCGGTGCATGGATCAGGTTTGGAGAAAGAGAACAGTCAATGTTCTTACTACAATGTTAGACCCAATAAATAATGGAAAGTTTGGAAAACTTTGAAAGGAGCATCCTTGCTGTTTTATTGTTTTGTCTTACCTGTAGCCTACCACAACATCTCCAGTCTTGCACTAGAACTTTTTTTTTAACTGTTCTCATGTGGATTTTGTTCTGAAAAGTGAATTGATCCTAATTGTGTAATTTTGGTGACATATTGTGGTCTTTTCAAAAGAACGTGGAGCTAATAATTCCTATGTGTGAAGGTAGAATGTTAATCAAATTGTTGATTTTATGATGTGTGACTATAAAAATATTAAATGAATAAGCTTTGACCATTAGAAGCTGGTTATATTCAGAGACTAGTGCCACATAACTCTGTTTAACTCTTTATAAAAGTATTTTTTGCGTAATGGGTCCTTCTCTACTTTAAGTAAAAGTAGAAAAGTAAATCACAGCATAATTTTTGAGTGTATGATGATATGACAAGTATTTACACAAACATTTGTTTTCCCTAAAAGTATTTCATACTACCTAGCTATCACTGATGTCAATAACTGTTTACCAGATTGATGTAAAATGCTGTTATGAATTCCAGTAAGTGACAATGTCATTTTATAAATAGAGTCCTGCATTTGTGCCCGACTTTTTGGCCAAACTTTTTTTATGCCCTTAGGGCCGGGCTTTGGGCCAATTTTCACGTCATAACTAGCATGGCTACTAGTGTAGTGTGGCTACTAGTGTAGTGTAGTACTAGTGTGGGCTACACCCACCCAGTTTTTTTTTTCTACCAATTTTTTTCTCCACTATCACGTCCCTTCTGGGTCTCCGTAGTATTAAATAGAAACGTAATACACATTTGCATTTCGGCTTTGTTTTTAAAGAAAATAAAATGTTTTTTACATGAAGATGGTAAAGGTATCTGTGCACCTGTTTTCAAGAGCCTTTTCTGGCCCTGTAAATTTTAACTAGCATAAATGAATTGGAAAAAATACCCATAAGGTTTTTAATTTTTTATTAGGGGAACAAATTAGAACAAAGCAGCCTTCCTCAAACTAAATCTAAAACATGACCATGTGCAGGGCTTCATGAAAATCTATTGATGGTGGTATATTTTTAGCTGCCGTAAAAAAAAAAAATGCTTTTCATGATGCATTCAATTCCTGATGCATCAAATCCTTACAATATGACAGTTCATGCATGCAGTTTCATGTTGACAAAGATTTTTTTCTCTTTTTCATTTTCATTGCCTCTCTCTCTCTCTCTCTCTCTCTCTCTCTCTCTCTCTCTCTCTCTCTCTTTCTCTCTCTCCCTCTCTGTCTCTGTGCAGGCTGGTAGAGAACGGTCAGCTGGAGGTGGCTACAGGAGGCTGGGTGATGCCAGACGAAGCCAACGCGCACTACTTTGCAATGATAGATCAGTTAGTTGAAGGCCACCAATGGTTGGAGAGAAATTTGGGTATGTAAATCATTTTGTGTTATTTAGGAATGCTTCTCATCAATTTTCTGTTTGCTTGAAATAAAACAAATGGTTGATATTGCCACATTAAATCTAAGACGGCAGACACATTTAATTTTTTTTTATCTCATAACTGTATAACATCTATAGTCAAAGACAAAAAGGCCATTTCAAGCATCTAAGCAATAAAAGGGTATTACAGCTGTAATCCTCCATCCTCTTACATTACAGTTTGTACTGTTTAATGTTAAAATAATGTCCTGTTCAGCAAAAATAATCATATATTTTAAGCCTATTATTAAAAAAGAAAATTGTCCATTAATGAATTATGCTTAACACAGGTGAGTGGGATTGACAAACCAACTATAGAATTACTCTTTGCTCTAAATTCTCTGAGCACGAACAGTTCCCTTGTATAATTAGCACTTTCTTGTGTATTGTAATGTAAATATAATGTGGATTTATTTATATAGCGCAGTTATCGTGTATACACCCAAAACGCTTCACAATCATGAGGAGGGGGTCTCTCCACATCAACACCAGTGTGCAGCATCTATTTGTATAATGCGGTGGCAGCCACAGGACAACAACACCAGTGCGCTTACCACACACCAGTGTGGAGTGGAAAGACAGTAATAAAGTCAGTTTGGTGGATGGGGATGATTGTATTGCCCTTTTGTGTTGAATCACTGAATACCTCCTTAATTGTAAGTTGATTTTGGACAAAAGCATCTACTGAAGCAGTGTTTCTCAACCACACTTTTGGGGGACCCCCAAACACTGCATGCTTTGGATGTCTCGTTTGTTACACCCATTACAGGTCTTTCAGTCTCTGCTAATGAGCTGATGATCTGAATCAGGAGTGTTTGGTTAAAGAAGCATGGAAAATATGCAGAGCTGCTTGTACTCCAGGAATGTGGTTGAGAAACACTGGACTAAATTACTAAGTTTAAATGAAACACTGATTTACAGAAGACATTCAGCCAGAAAGTTTATATACCAACAAGATCTTGGCAGGCACATTTACAACAGCAATTTATTTGATCACTCTTTAAAGGAATTACAGGTTGACCCCCAAAATTCTAATTAAATATTTATTCTATTAGGTTTTACGCATTAGTCAGGAATATAATGATATTATATTTGTGAAGCATTACTTTTTAACTTGTATAAAATATACTGTTGAATTCAGATTTATTAGTCATCCTGTTGAATTTTAATTATTTCATATTTTCCCTCAATTTCTGTTAAACAAAGAAAAGATTTTTTTTCTGCACATTTATTAACATAATAGTTTTAATAACTATTTTCTAATAACTGATTTTTTAAATCTTTGCTGTGATGACAGTAAATAATTATTTACTAGCTATTTTTCAAGATACTAGTACTCAGCTTAAAGTGACATTTAAAGGCTTAACTAGTTTGACAAATTAAGTAATTAATCAAATCATTGTCTAACTTTGGTTTGTTCTGTAGCCAAAAATATTGCTTAAGTAGGTTACTAATAGTGATCTTAAAATGATAAAATAAAATAAAACTGCTTTTATTTTAGCAGAAATAATACGTCATTAAAATAAAAACATCAAAATATAAAGCATAACATGTAGGAAGTACTATGAAAATGTTCTTGCTTCATTAAACATCCCTTATTATAATAAATAAACACAAATTTTTGCTCAGAAGAACTTATTATTTTGCACTCAACTATATATAAAGAATGATTGTACATGCCCAAACTAGAGCCTGGAGGCCACAGTTGGCCCATGGTAACATTTGATTTGGTCTGCCAAATCGCATCTGAGCAGAGTAGGAAAATGATCGGTATGTTTAGGAGATGTCAATTTAATATAATTTAATATTTGTTTGGTTTATTGGTATATTATCAAGAGGGAATACACACTGAAATTAAATTTTTCAATTAAAAGGTGTAAATTAATCTAATAAAGACTCTGTTTTAATGTACATACTGTCACCCGACACTGCCAAGACTTTGGTGAGCAAATCAAGTCAAAGGCAGATTCTGCTTGACCTACATATTCAGCAATGAACTCCACTGTCTTATAAATGTGATTATTTATGGTTTTTATTGCTGTAAGCAAGCATTTTAAAAGTTATACTGCATATAACAAATTAAAGTCATATTTTCTATTTATTAAAAAAAATTTAAAAGCTTTAATTTAAAATAGTTTGGTAAATTCATGTTCGGCTCACGGCTTCAATATTATTTGGTTTTTGGCCATTCATACAAAAGAGTTGGGGCATCCCTGTAATAAATAAAGCCATAGGTCTGTTTTACCAGTCAAAAATGGACTACAGTATTTAAATGTAGTCAGTGACAGAGTGCAAACATACTTATGCCGTAGTCACACTGCACTTTTCGCCCCAAGACTTCTAGTCACAGACTAATCAAACATGCTAATCAGTGTCTTAAAGATCACTAGAAAGCTAGACAGGCAGGTGTGTTTGATCAGGGTTGGAGCTAAATTTTGGACATCGGGCCTCCAGGGCCAAGTTTGCTCGTCCCTGTTCTAACATAATTTTGCATATTCAAAGTCAGAATCATAAATATATTTGCACTCTGGTTTCATCACTGCACTGTGCATTACAAAACAGGACTAAGTTCTATTCAAGTCCACCACCTCGAGTCAGTATCAAATGTCCATTTTCCAAATGATTAAAAGTAAATTTTTAACCATATCTCTTCAACGAAGTATTAATTGCAAGCATTCATTTAATATAATTTGGCTTTAACTTTTGAAGTAGTGTCATATTTTGAGATGTGTATTAGATCGTCACTTGAGTGTATCGTTATACCCCTACTGTGTACTCTTCAAGGTCTTATGAAATCAAAATTTACAACATTTATTTTTCTAGCACACACTAGCTATGTTTCTATCCAAAAATGTGAATTAACTTTATGCACTGGATTATCACATAAAATGCTTGCAAATAAAGCAGCGTTTCTATCAAACAAGTCAAAGCGAACAAAATTGTCACTTACTGATTATCTGGTGTTAAATATCAAAAGTAAAAACAGAATTTGCTGCAATAGGAAAAGCGGCGTGAATCTTGACTTGTGTGAACACGTGGTGGCTTTGAAGGTGTGAAACGCGGAGCACAGTTGCTGTTGTATATTCTGTAGGTCATTAATAATATAATAACACTAATACTGAAATGGTTAAGGCATTTTAGAATGATTAAAACAACATTTCAGATTTCTTACAATGCGCACAGCCTGATGGTTTATCCATTCACTCACATTTTTTTTCATCACAAGATCTCTTACAAAACCACATGACCTTTTTTAATGCGCATACTGGAATTTGTTCGATAAGTTAGATAAGTTTATCCTACTCAGGTATGCACATGTTTTATTTATGCGCATTTTTAAAATATATACCCATCTTGGCATTTCCATCAACTATTGGTTTATGCGCATTTTGGATAGCTGGATGGAAACAAAGCTACTGTTATTATTTTAGGTGAACCATTCATCCATGATTAAGTTAATCCACGCAATAAAATCAATCAAAATTTTAATCAAAATCTGACCACTTTACACCCGTGTTTGGAGTTGTGGTCCTTCTGTTGACGTCAGTTTGACAGCTTCAACCACAATATTCTAAACCACATACCTTATACCAATAGTTTGCTATGAGGGAATTATGCGCAAAAAGAAATCCCCACCTTCTGCTCAATATTCATTTTAGTGAGCTATATATACACAGTTAGTGTTTTTTAGCCAATGATAAACTTCCAGCAAAAGGTTAATGTGACTACTTTCAATTTCATAAGGTTTCTTTTACAGCATTGATGTTGTAAATTAATTAAAATACAATCAGTTGAAAATACTTAGGTATTCATTTAGTTTAAGTTATGGTTGGGCGATGTTGACCAATTTGGCATAGTACGATGTCTAATGTGAAACATTGCGATGGACGATGGCATCACCGTCATAGGCAGAGGTAAATTTATTATTTATGAATAATTAATTAATTCATAGGGAATTAATTATTTGTAGCCCACAATTTCATCTATCTCACCTGCATGGTCTTTGTTTTAACCATAACTAAATCATAAATAAATAAATAAAGATAAGTTTTACACAAATTATTTCACTAAAATTACTAAGAACATGCGTGAAAGCGAAAGATTGAAGCAGTGTAGTGATGCTGTAACACGTTACCTGATAGATTCAAAAGACCGAAGAGTCAATAGATAGAGACAAGATGAATTAAATATCTCGTTTAACGACTATAGTTAGACACAATCCAGCGGTACATCCTTGATAAACTGTCCAACATGCTCTGCTCTCAAAGGCTTTTGTGCTCAAAGCACCTGCTGACTGCTGGGGCTCAGCTAGGGCTCAGACGTGTGCGTACACTGCAGCGCATGACAGAGTGTGTGTGTGGCGGGGCGGAGGATTGTGGTGCCGGCTCAGCATCATAAAGTCTATCGCGATAGACGGTGGCATCATCTATCGACCCAACCCTAGTTTAAATGTAAAACGAGATGAAAAACTGTGTAAGCATGAGCACTGTTAGTAGCAGCAGGTAAGCGCAGAAACTCCATTGAAAATACTGGGGTGAAATAAAAAGTTAAATCTGTGTGCATAGAGCCTGTTGGAAGTACATCAACATTCTACAAAAAAAGTCTTCAGAACTTCTAGTTCACGTGGATTTTAACTTGGAAGTAAAGTCAGAAAGACAATAAAATGTTTAACTAGAAAAAACTTTCCAGTTTTGCTGTAATTTAAGGGAACTGTGGGCGGTCCTAGATTGAACTGGGTAATAAAATCTAGTTTCAGACGTATTTAAATTCTTAATCAAGCTCTGCTCAATATGTAGGTCATGAAACCCAACCTTGTAAATGCAATACTGTAAGGAATTTTAGCTCCTCTACATGTTTATGCTTCCCATATTGGTTCAAATACCTTTGGGAGAATCTTTTTTTTTTTTTTCAATGTTCATTATTAGTGTATTAAAACATGGAGCAAAGCCGTGGCTCTCATTACCACACATTCACTCTACCATCTGCTCTCCTGATATCTCAGCTGTTGGTGGATCTGTTCTCAAATATAGATTGATCGGAGAGGCAAATACTACAGTAGTCTTTGGCTTTCAGACAACATCTGTTTTTTTTTTGCTGTTAATGCCCTGCAACCGGTATTGCATTTGTGAGAACTGCTGCTGCTGTTATACAGTTTGTTCATTCTCATGTGCTTATGAATAGAAACGCGGGTCTCTTCAAGGTACACGTGTCCATATATATGCATCTCCTGCGTTTCTCTGTTCTGCAGATTTCTTCGGTTGTAAATACCCTGCCGATTTCATTCCTAGTTTCATACTTAAAATGGGACTTTGCTGAAAGTCATTCCAGCCAGAAATTAAAATATTATGTTAATTTACGCACTATGACGCCATCCAAAATGTATATGTTGGTTAGTTTTTCTTCAGTAAAACTTTAAAGAAGATTTATTTTAGCTGAAACTTTGGTCGTTGGTAATTCATAGAATATAAGAAGATTCAAAATGTGTATTCATAAACGGTGGTGCAGTGGGTAGCACAATCACCTCTCAGCAAGAAGGTCACTGGTTCAAGCCTCAGCTGGGTCAGTTGGCATTTCTGTGTGGGGTTTGCATGTTCTCCCTGTGTTGGCGTAAATTTCCTCCGGGTGCTCCGGTTTCCCCCACAAGTCCAAAGACATGCACTATAGGTGAATTTCTGTTGTGGCAACCCCTGATTAATAAAGGGACTAAGCTGAAAAGAAAATGAATGAATGAATGAATTTTATACAAATGTTTTGCAGAATATAACTGTTTTCCAACCAAAAAAGGCTACATCTGTCAACACAATTGCACATGTTTAAGAAAACAGGAATTGAGAAATTAGTTCATAATATTATTACATATAAATTCACAGAGCAGAGTAGTTGTGTGTATATAAATATTTGGAATTGAATGTATATTGTGTAAGCGAAATAAGTTTAGATTTGTATGTTTGTACAACTGTACGTGCTTAAAGGGCCATGACACCCCCCACTTTCGGTTAAAGTCTACTTCAGAATTTTTTCAAAAGATGCATGATTTATGGGCGTGGAGCTCAGCCAGCATCGGGCAGGAGTGGGCGTGGCCAGCAGGGGAGAACGTGAGCGAACAACTGTTGTTGTCAGTTAGCTCGCAAAATGAGACAAACCGTGAGGAGACGCACGAGTTTATAGTTTACAAAGTTAAAATGCAAAGAAATGAACAGTGATTTAATGCCCTGCTACATTTGTTATTGTAATTTCATATACACATAACCACAATTTATATCATTATAAAGATAAGTGTGTTCATGTAAACCCTATAAATGAGGACTTCTCCCAAAATCCCCGTATCCAGCAGACTCAGTGCAGCAGGTCTCCTGACCCGTCTATTTTAACCATTAACCCTGCTGGTAATCTGGAGGATTTAGGCAAACACAGCAGCACGGCGATGTGTCTGAATGTGAACGAACTCCTGATAAAAGACAGCGTCCGCCATTCTCTAATTCTCGTGCTGTTCTCCCAACAAAAATTCTAGCAGCACACACACAGCTTTGCTGTATGATCGGCCCTGACAAGATCGCGGGGGAAAACATGCAACAAACCCCGTGGATGATGGAAACAAACGCACATGACCGGCTAAATACTGTGACGTGGTTTCCGTGTCTCTCAGCTCGGGCTTGACACTGGCAGGTCTCATAAATAATTAAGCAGCCGGCTCTTCTCATAGGATAAGAAAACTCCGCTATGAATAATAATGAGAAACCGACGCGTCATCATTGCACTTGCAGTTCTGCGCTACGTCGCCGATTTTGATCCCGCCCCAAAAATCATTTTAAACCCAGAAGCTGAAATTAGCTGACAAAAGCTCAATAATATCCAGTTTTCCCCACAATTAAAGCTGACAGGTGCTAACATTGTCTTAACTGTGGCTCAACACACACACATCTGTTAATATATATAAAAAAAAAGTTCTCCGGGGTGTCCTGAACCTTTAAGAAACTTGGCCATTTTTTAAATATTTATGGTAAATTTAATTTTGGAAAGACTTGAAGTTAATTTGACCCATTCTTTAAAGAATTAAGAGTTTACAGTAATTTTTGAGATTTACATAGATTTTTAATTAAATTACTTATATTATATGTTTATTACTTCTTATATATATATATATATATATATATATATATATATATATATATATATATACACACACTATCTTTCAAGTCATTTAAATTACTTATTGAGTAACCAAGTTATTTTTTAATGATGCAATTAGTAATTAATTACTTTTTTGAAGGAACTTACTGAACATGTTGTTCTGTAATCTTTGGTCAGCTTAAAAGAAAAGCATGTACTGTATTAGATTTTTTTTTCTTTTTTTTTTCCCCTCAACTTTATATTCATTTTCTTTGATACAGAAAAAAGGGACAATGATAAAATGATGACCATGTATGCACATTTATTCTAAACAACATACAGCAACATAAACAAAAAAACAAACACACACACACACACACACACACGACATGGTCATCCAGATAAATATGCACAATAATATCACATGTAAAAAATAAAGTGCAAATAATAATAGTTAATAATCAAATAAAATAATATACAATATAAAGTTAATTTAATATATAATGGGAAGAATAGTGATAATTCCTGAGGAGTAATGAATTCAGACATCTCACTTCATTTCACTTTAATAACCTAGAAGAGGACCCCAAGTTTTAAAGAAGTCACCAGAAGCTTCTTTTATTGTTTGTCTGATTTTCTAGAGTTTAACAAAATTAATACAAAATTAAAAAAAAATGTCTATAATCCACAAAGAATGGGTAGGGGTGTAGGCAATTTCCAATTTAATCAAATTAAAAGTCTTGCAAGACATATTTTTAAAGCTACTGCACAAGTCTTTTATTTGGTAATGTTGGCGGAGAAAAAGTTCTAAATTGAGCTGTAATAGCCAGAGGTTTGATGTGAATATTAGGAGATTTAGATAATATTTTAAAGATCTGTGGCAAATAATTGGTGGATTCGTTTGACACTACATTTTGCGTATTGATTTTAGACATTTGTTCATTTGACCTAAAATCTTATACCCCCACTATTTGTTAGGTGTGAAACCCAAAACTGGCTGGGCTGTGGATCCGTTTGGTCACACTGCGACTCAGGCTTACCTGCTGAAACTGGCCGGTCTGTCCAACATGCTGATCCAGAGAGTGCACTACTCAGTGAAGAAACACTTCTCCTCTCAGAAGACCCTGGAGTTCTTTTGGAGACAGAACTGGGGTGAGCAATTGATTGACCTTTTTATAATGTCCAAATTAAAATGCACAAGATTGGATTTTTTTTCAGTATTAATATTTTTATGGTTTCTGACTATTAAATCAAATCAAAATTTAGATTTTATGACACTGTTTTTAAAGCAAGACACCACTAAGTAAAGTGAATTAGACCGTTAACTGCTCAATCACAAACATCAATATAAAAAAAAAAAGAGTTTTGATAATTTTCCTATTTAAAGCTTCTGTAGTTACATTGTGTACTAAGACTAAGCGAATGATAAGTTTATATTATCTAGGTCAGGGATTCTCAACCAGTGGGCCTCAGCGATCCTGCTGGTGGGCTGCAAGATTATTGTACTATAATTATTTAATTTCATTATTGATTACTTCGGACTCGGTGCAAAAAGAGCCTCACTGTAAAATACAGAATTATTTGTGGCTGCACTTCCAACCACAGCACTTCAACTAGAACTACATGCTGACCTGTATAAAGCAAACAGTCATGCAAATGTAAAGGTAATAATGATTACAGTTATAACCAGTTTGCACGTGCCTCACGTCTGCGACTCGTATCAGAGTCGCACATCTCTGTGCGACTCGGTGGTTCATCACTGGAAAACACCCAGAAACACTCAATCACACACATACACCACGGACAATTTAGCTTGCCCAATTCACCTACACAGCACTTTAGACTTGTGGGGGAAACTGGAATACCTGGAGGAAAACCTCATTCTTTACTTTTACTTTCACTCTCGTGGATAGGTAAATGTGTTGTACACACAGACAGTAGCCTACATAATTAATTTTGTTTGTTAAGCCAAAGATTTGTGTCAAAAATTGTCATGTTGGAAGCGTTTACACAGTTTGCTGTTTTAGGGGCGTGTTGCTTCACAGATTCGGCTTCCCGTCCATGGTAACAAGGGGGCGAAGCCAAGAGCTCCTACGCTCTGTGTTTGCAGCAGACAGGCTGACAGACAGAGAGCTAAGCTAAGCTAGGATGAGCATTCAGCCGTACATGTACGAGTCGGAGACAGACCAAGCAGAGAGTACAAAATCATTTGTGTTTTTGTATAGTCTAGGTGTACAAGTGCCGAGCTAATAACCACACACACTGAATTAACTTTGACTGAAGCATCGAATGCATCACGACACGGCACACCAGACACTAAGTGACATGGCAGAAATATGAAGTGTCCCGAAACTCCGCGCCACGCGTTCTAGAACTCCAAACACAATCCTCCACCAGGGCAAACTCAATGGCGCAGCACCGAGCCGCTGACCTGAAGCTCCGCCGCGTGCACCCTGACAGAAACCCACGCCGCTCTGGCCCGTGCAGCCCAACAGAAAGCAGCGCCGAGCTGCTGATCCGAAGCTCCGCTGCGTGCACCCAACAGAAACCCACGCCGCTCCGCCACGTGCAACCAGAAAGAAAGCCGTGCCGAGCCGCTGATCTGAAACTCCGCCACGTGCACCCCGACAGAAACCATCGCCGCTCCGCCGCATTCACCCCGACAGAATCCCATGCCGCTCCACCGCGTGCACCCTGACAGAAAGCCGTGCCGAGCCGCTGACCCGAAGCTCTGCCGCGTGCACTCCGACAGAAACCCACGCCGAGCCGCTGACCCAAAGCTCCGCCGCGTGCACCCCGACAGAAACCCACGCCCAGATCTCCGAAATGCACAGCGCCGCGCAAAAGGTACAAGCAATAAATCCGATTACAGCGATAATGTGGAGAATATTGATCTTGTGTTGAGCCCAATGAGCTTTTCATCAAAAAATAGAGCAAGGGTGATATCGCTTTGACTCACACGCTGAAAATGGCGGACGTGCAACAAGAAACTGAGGATATGATCGTGACGCAAGGCTGTCAATCAATATTGGTCGGCAAGGGACCGCACTCCTACATAAAGTTGCGGTCGGTCTGAAAAACCGCTCCAATTGGTCCACCGTTTTTTTGTTGTTAAATTGAAAAAATGGACTGTGTGTGTTTATATCACCCTGATATGACGGTCTGTACACTATACTTGCACACATGTCTGTCCAAACATCATTACACCAGAATGAGAGTATATTTCCTAGCCATATCCAGTGGTCTCAAGCAAGTGCAATGAAAGTGCCTTTTGCCAACGAACTCACTTTTTTTGGGCTTTTTTCACCTCAATGGGAACTGGTGCGGTCCTGAACAATGCTGATGGGTCTGCAGTCTGTGGATATCCATTTAGTGATGGAATCAGTTAGCTTTGCAGTTTTTTTGTTGACAGGCCTGCGCTTCTGCAATCATCCAGTGTTCTTTGATGAGCACGGCTGGGTGATGCTGTCTCTGCACTGGCATCTTTGCTAACATCCGCAGAAATGTGTTTGGCCCGAAGATGGTACTTTAGACTTGTTGTGAAGGACAGTTCATCACTAAAATAAGTGCACACACAACTTTACATTTATCCAAACTTCCATCTGGAAGCTTTTTAGAAGTAAACTTGCCATTCAGCACACTGGCCATTGTGTCTTGAGGCATCAAATTACTGGCGTTTGCTGTATTCTGTATTTTGCCTTATGAATGCAATGATGGCAAGAAGTTGAGTTCAGTCCTTATGAATGGATTAATTTAAGTTAAAGAAATATTAATTTGTTAAAATTTACAAAATAATTAAATGTGGTATCGATTAACATCGAAAACCCTAATATATATTGTTGAAAACTAAATGATTATTTTTCTTTTTTAAATATTTCTCAAGTGATATTTACAGATTAAGGAAATGTTCACAGCCTTTCCTATAAAAGTCTTATTTGTTTTTTTTTTTTGGCTAGTTTTCACTTTTGTTAAAAATATTATTTTAAGGTGAATATAATTAGCCCTTAAGCAATACATATTTTTTATTGTCTACAGAACAAACCATCATTTTACAATGGTTTGCCTAATTACCCTAACCTGCCTAGTTAATTATTAATCTAATTAAGCCTTTAAATGTTTCTTTAAGCTGAATACTAGTATCTTTAAAAATATTTAGTAAATTATTATGTACTGTCATCATGGCAAAGATAAAAAAATGAGAAAACAGTATAGACTTCAACTGTATATACATGAGACCCTCCAGCATTTTATGATTCTGCGATTACTGAATTTAATTCAGTCAAGCAAATGTTGCAAAATTGTGCAATTAAAAAAAAAATTGCCACAGATTTCCAACATATTTTGGACAGTTGGGACGTTGTTCAAATTTCCTGTATACCACAGAGTGCCATCTACCAAAGTCCCTTTAAGGCAAGTCATTTCACTCGGCAGCCATCTTTGGAACGGCTCTGTTTGAATGGGGAAACATCAAATTCTCCAAGACTACTTGCCAAGCTTACTATTACATTTTATATTATGATTAACCAATAAAATGAAACAACAACTGTCTATTTAGTTTCATTCCTAAATGTTCGCATGACACAAAATCTGCAGAAACTTAAGTCTGGTCCCAGCCCCTCTCCCGGAGAATTGTCATTCTATAGCGATTGCTGATTAGCTGCTGTACTAGATGGTGGGCTTTATTCTCCATATATCGATCACTGATTGGCTCCTGTACTAGAAGGCAGAGCTTTATTTGCTATATTGACAGATACACTTTTCCCCATTCAAAAGTAGACGAGTGACAGGTCTTGTGTATTCTAGAGTTTTTTTCATCTGCCTAGTTTTACGTTCAAAAACGTTACGGTAGTTGCGAATAGAATGTGCTCAAATTCTGGAAGGACTGATAGATTCATTCATTCATTTACTTCGACTTTTCGACTTCTACTTGTGACTTATCGTTGTCATGATTAATCATGATTGAGGTTTAACATAAGGTGGGGCAAGTCAGATACTAGAAAGATTTTTAATGGTTATGATGTGATGAGAAACTGTAGTGTGAGGTGACATGAATAAAGCCATTGATCCATTTAGACGGAAGTGACAAACTACCTGCTGTTTGTATCAGTTTTATACCTTCTCTAAGCTCAAATTTTGTCATTGTTTTGGAGCACACTAGCTCATAGATATTCTAAAAACAATATTGATTCTAACATCTAAAAAAAGTTATTTTAATTTCACTGGACCTTTAATTACCATACATGTAGCTGTCAAAATTACCCTATGCATTTCAGTGGTTGGTAATTTTTCTCGTGACTTTAAATATGCATGCCTCTGTTGCCTAGCATCTTCCTGCTAACAAAAAAACATAACTTTCTGTTGGCAAAAACATAGCTTTACTTCAGTTATGTCTAAACAGTAAATTTGGTGCCTTCTCCACTGCTTGTAAAATTGAAACTATGGATGCAGCAATACCATTTTTTTGGAACCGATGTGATTACGATACCAAAATTCTGTGTATCGACCAATACAGATCCGATCTGGATACTGTGCCGTTTTTTTTTTTTTTTTTAAACATTATACACTTTCTGTAGTTCTGGTGATAAACTCAAATACTACATCTTATTTAATAAAAATAACACGCCTATTGTATATGACAGATGACACAATCTTACTAAAAACATAATGCTTGCTGTAAACTAGGCTACATTAAGTATTCGTTATGTTTTCTTAAACTCCCTAAACAGCAGGTCTGGTCTTTTAAATCAAATATTAATATAAATAAAATAACCATTAAATATTCAGTTTCAGAGTAGCCTATATTAGGCTGAATAATGCTCTGTTAATGACAATTCATATTGCGCCTGTCAGTTTCCTTTTTATTCATTTAATTAGCTACTTTGACCACAATGAGCCAGGCTTTGCAAACTGTTCACAGTACTGAAAGTAGGAAGGATGAGAGAACAAACTCTTTGTGAGAATAATTTTACAGAGCGGCACACATTGCGTCACTGAGAGACAGTGAGCAGCCCTACATTATATGCGGAAACTTCCAAAACAGCAGCACAAAGGGAAGAAATCAGTGCAGTGAGGATTTGTTTAATGTATTATTGAGCCTTTTCTAATTTAAAATTTCTGGTAGGCCTAATTTGTGTGAAGAGCAGGTAATAATCCTCTCTTCTCCAGTGTTGTGAATGTGATCTGCTGATCTAACAGACACAGCGCAACATGATTTAGAAACAGCAATGAACTCCTTGTTGCAGGCCAAAATGAACCATTTTAATGCAGAACTAAATGCATTTCTCCACTAATTATGTAAACTAACTGGAACAAATAGTCTTAGAGAAAGATTTTCGTGTTGTCATAAACAAATATGACAAAAAGTTGAATTGTGAAAGAATGGAGAATGATTGACAGGAGCAGCGGAGGGAAGCGCTGAATTGAACATGAATTTAACCACTTGAATATTCATCTTTAATTCACATTAAACTATAGAATGGCTTCAGAACATTTGGGATATTGTAGGTCTACATGACATCTTTTCAGAGCCTTATAATAGGCTACCTTCATGGCTTTGTTGGCTTATAAATTCCGAAGTGTAACATGGACATTGACAGGCAGTCTATTTGCCTAACTACGCATTTATAGGCTGTATTGCCAAAAAGATTGTATTTTTATGGTGATTAGTTGACAAAAAACATTAATTTGCTAAATCTTAATATCAATCTCTCAATAGAAGCGTTGAATAGAAATATTACATGACAATATGACATCTTGTATGAAAACGGTCAAAATGACTGCTGAGGATTTTAGTAGTTAAAGAATTCTGGAAGTTCCAGTGTTAAAAGAGGCATATCATCTGGCTCATAATAAATGATGAGAGTGTTTTTGGTAAACTCTGTCGTCTCAGAGCTGACTGCGTGGCCTCACACGTTTGATTGCAAATCTCTGTAGGAGCCTGTTCTAATCACATGAGCTGCTCTGTGCTGCCATTCACGCTTCTCATTGATTGAATCCATCTTTTATTTAGCGATTACGTTGATTAAAACCTTGGTAGGTGGGGTTGCTCGCTACATTTAGCTTCATGATTTAGAAATAGAGGTCGAAGTCAAATAAATCCAGTTTTCCATCTGCAGCTGCTGGCCCTGAAGCAATTGGTAAAAGACCCAACTCCATCTGTGCCTAGTGGAGGCTTTCGCTTTCTCTCTCTCTCTCATTCCAGATACATCTCAATGACTGGAGGTCATTCGGCCCCTCGCCTTAAAAGATAACCGCACAATCTTGAGATTTTGACTGGAGCCGTAATGATCCGTCTCACCAAAAAAGGGCTTGAAGCAATCTTTAGCATCAGATGATGGATACTGTGATGAGTTGATATCAGTTTATGTGTACCTGATTGCTTTTTTTTTGGTATATGCAGAAAAACTTTCTCCTTAATATCTCTCAATAGCCAGGAGCTCTGGAAGCTCTCACCAAACAGGATGCTGGGTAAATGGTGTAGCAACCATGCAACAAACACCTTAAACACTTGCCTTAACATTTAGCGGTTTTTGCTTGGATTATTATTGGTTGGTGTCTATCAACCTGCATGTAGCTGCAAGTCGATCCCGTTCAGCTGAAATATCAAGCCAAATATAAATGCACAGAAGGATTAAAAGAAGATTTAGGTAATTTATACAGGGGGAAATAAGTAATAAAAGTCACCATTTTTCTCAGAAAACATATTTCTAAAGGTGCTGTTGTCTTGAAATTTCCCCATGGTGTTGGTAACAACCAGAGAAATGCATATGAAAAGAAAACAAATCAAATTCGTCAAGAACTAAAAAAAATTTAACACATGAAGAAAAGGAGGTGTAGAAATATAGACAGCAGCTGAAATCTTTTAGCAGTTTTTCAGCAACCCTCTGCCCTTTGTCACTGTAAATGAATATTAGCTGCTTCAATTCAACATCTACATTGCCAGGATTATAAGGATGAAGCCAGGGTGGACATTTCAGCAAGACAATGATCCAAAACACAACCAAGGAAACTCAAATGCTTTCAGAGAAAGAAAATCAAGCTGAAGAATGGCCCTGTCAATCACCTGAAATAAATCCAACAGAGAATTCAAAATAAAGCTTAGATTTAATAGACAACACCCACAGAACCATCGAGATTTTTACACTCTGTTAAAGTCTGTGAAAAACTCACACCTGAGCAATTCATGTGACCTCATTCTCCACATAAGAGGCATCTTTAAGCTACCATCACCAAAAAAGCCGTTTATATAAAGTACTAAATATGTTTCAGTAGTTTCTCCTTGTTTCATTCCATTACTATTACACATAACCAATTTTTCAGTTGTTTTTATTTGTTTTGTTTTATTTTTGTGTTTGTATTTTTTTTTATCAAAATCTGTTTAAATTTCATGTAAGCAGCTCCTTTAGAAATATTATTCCCAGGAAAAACACGTTTTCAATAATTATTTTCCCCACTGTATCCTTCATCCTTCACCCCCACATTACATCCTTCATTCATTCATTTTCTTTTCGGCTTAGTCCATTTATTAATCAGAGGTCGCCACAGCGGAATTAACCGCCCCGCTGTGTATCAATTTCTATCAATAAAATGTTATAGAATATACAGTAAAAGATAAAAGTGATGTTTAACAAAGCAAGGACGTCATGTACTGCAAGCATAGGGATAACAGGCAAAATCTACACAGAAATGTCAACTGGCACAGCCGAGGCTCAAACCAGCTATCTTCTTGTTGTGAGGCGACAGCGCTACCCACCGCAACACCCCCACCCCTATAGATTTTAAAAAAGGTATTTGATCTACTATATTGATCTGAACGGTCATGTTTTTGTTATGAAGCATTATCACTGTCACCTCACAGCAAGAAGGTCGCTGATTCAAGGCCCTGCTGGACCAGTATTCTCCTCGTGTTGGCGTGGGTTTCTTCCGGGTGCTCCGGTTTCCCCCACCGTCCAATGACATGCGCTATTGGTGAATTGAATAAGGTAAATTGGCCGTAGCAAATGTGTGTGAATGAGTGTGTATGGATGTTTCACAGTATTGGGTTGCAGCTGGAAGGGCATCCACTTTGTAAAACATATTCTGGAAAAGTTGATGGTTCATTCCACTTTGTGATCCCTGATAAATAAGGGACTAAAAGATGAATCAATAAATGAATAAAGTAAAATGCTAAATGAAAACTGGCCAAATGTCATTTAGGTTGTGTATGGAATAAGTGGTTTTATAAAAATGAAATAAATAATTTTAAACCTCAAACAACAACTATAGTCACAACAATAAAAACAAAGGATTTAAATGTAAACAGTTGAAAGCCTTTGTTTTTGCAGCTGGAGATTTTTGATTGGATTATAATGTAAATGAGTTTGCTTTGTTATTCTAATGAAAGAGAAGAAAGAAAGGAAAGTGTGATACAGAAGCTCACCTACTGATATTTGATTTATTTAATTATTGAACACAGTAAGCGCTTCACCACACTTCTGATCTACCAACCTGCTTATTTCAATTTCACAAATTTAACCAATATGCTAAATATTAAATATTCAAATAATTATTCAATAAATAAAACCGCAAAAAGGATTTGAACATGAAGCATTTGACATTTATTCGGAAAGTCTAGTCTGTGTTATGAGAGTGCTTATTAGTGAGGCTAAGTCCTGTGTAAATATTTCATGTTGAGCGTAACCCACAACTGACCTTCATTAGCATCAGCCTTCATGCACAAAAGTACATTCGGAAAGATGCTAAGCCTTATAAAGTTTGAACTTTTTCAAATCTCTAATTATGTAGGGCAAACTTTTCTTAATCCATAGTTAAGTTCCCATATTAATTGGGATTAGTTATACCTGTGGTTGTTCTGCTGAACACCTGGGTGAACTGGTATGCTCACAGGAAACTTCTCTTTTGTGGGATAAAAGAAAGGGTAAACATGTGTTTGAAATACCTGTTTTAAATGCTGTGGTTTATTTTTTAGCAAACATCCTGATGGCTGAAGAAGTAATAAATGTTTTTCTTTGTAAAGCACAATTTTTGAAGAAAACAGAAATATATTTATATATTTGATGTTTGAAAAATTCTTTCACTTTCTCATGCTTCATTAGGTTTGTTTTAACATGTAAACATACACAGACACCCTAAAACTGCACACTAGTTCAATTCACCAAACAAAAAAGTATAATGAAAGCATAATTATACACTAATCAAGTATTTAAATGAATATTAAAAATACATACATACACACACACACACACACACACCAACACACACACACACACACACACACACACACACACACACACACACACACACACATATATATATATATATATATATATATATATATATATATATATATATAGGTCTTGAAAAAAGGGTCCAGACTACGATTAGTGTTGTCAAGTTTAAACCTTGGTACCAATTGATACTAATTTACTAATACTAATTTTAAAATTGTCAACATTTGAGTGCTGTTGAGCAGAACCCTTATTGGCTTATTGGACAGTGTGTTTTCGTACAAAATAGATAAAACTGTGATTGGCTCTGAAGGTCATCACTTCACCATTCTTCACCACTAAGGAGTTTGAAAGCTAAGTCTATCAGCCGATCTATATTTGAGCAGACATATTAGAGATCCACTGATAGTTTAGCTGATAGACATGGCTTTCAAATGCTCCAGTTTACATGATTTGGGTTCACGCTTAATAAACAGACCTTCAGAGTCAATCACAGTCTTATCTTTTGAGCATGTAAACACAATGTTCAATCAGCAGTGTTTAAAGGCAGGTTTATACTTCTGCGTCCAGTGTTTGTGTTGCTCTGCAATAACACTTATGAAACGCTAGCTGGCAGCGAGGTTTTAGTGTTCCTCTGTGTCGAGTATTTTTTTGGGTGCTTTGTTTATTCTGAACGCTACCTTAATGTACAAGTAGCTAAAACTCGCTCATTTAGAGGCAGGAGCTG